TTCACTTAAATTAATTGGCGAAGCTATGTATTCTTTATGACGTAAAAACTGTGAACATTCTTTTTGTGCGTGGGGAAACCATCCTGAATTTTAATAATATAAATTATAATTAGTGTGTGTGTGTGTGTGTTTATGATGATTTTATTTGAAAAATGGATTTCGCATTATCATTATAATGACTATAACATTTACATTATGTCAATCATAAGCTTATGGTGATGATAATATGCAAGGAAGAAAGGAAAATATGTTTGAACAAATTGAAATCATTGGTTGGGCAAATTCATTCATTTCAAAAAATATTTGTTTTAATGTTACATAAGGGGTGACAAATAGCTGGACGTGATACGATCAAGAAACGATTTTTCCTAAAAAATAAATGAACAATACCTTTCATATGTAATTCAAAATTAGAAGCTCTTAAGGGTGAGATGGAATACCATTGTTTCGGTGCACCAAAGTGGATATAATTGATAGAGTAAAGGTCTTTGTCCTGAATAATCCAGAGAAATTACATATTTATACACATGTATAGTATATATATTAACAATATATAATCTATTTTTTTTTTAATTTAATAAGAACTAAGAATACTAATAACCTCAATGTGCCATGCGAAGCTTGCCTTCCACATTCCAAAATATAGGTAAGTTTTATTCACTCCAGGGATTGACTTTAATTCATTTAATAAATTATCCAGATTGTTCAAGTTCCAATATTTAGTACAATCAGAAAATAAAGAGCCTAATGAATGTATGAATTCAAATTTACTATATTAATTACTATTATTTCAAGTTAACTACATATAAATTTATAAATTTTTTCATTCGAAAAAATTATTTACCAGACAAATCAGCACCGTAAAAAGGTGAATCGTAAGGTAAATTACGCCAATATGTACGTTCTAATTCTTTAATGTATTCTTCTTCATTATACGGAAGACTACTATTAATTTTTCGATAATCAAATTTTGCATTAGGAACAACTGTCAACGACAATAATTCAACAGTTTGTTGATTTACTGAATTTTCTGCATTATTTTGATTATTATAATTATCTAATATTTCATTATCAGGTGGTATAAGTCTAATAGTTTTTTTTGGAGAATTATCATCATTATAATCATCATTATAATCATCATCTATAATTATTTCATTATTATT